CCCCAAAACCCCAAAACCCCAAAACCCCACCAGTTTGATGAATGGGTGAATAGTGATTGAAAATTTGACTTATTATAAATTTCATACTTTACTACTAATAGCCGTAAGATACTTTAAATCTATAATAACTATTAAATGAAAAAAATTCAAGATAAAGACCCTTTAAAGTTAAGAAATAGTCCAGGTAGCGGTAAAGTTTATACTTTACTAGTTATAAGCTTAGCCTTATTTGCAGCAGGAATCGCTCTATTTCTTATCAGTTTCTTCAGTGAAAGTGGGAAGTTTAACAGAGGATACTATGCAAATATCTATACATGGAACCGTGAGAGATTAGCTGATAGAATGAGTTCAGTTGAGATCTCATTTAAAATAATGCCAACTCTTGATGATCTTAGAAACAGAGATCAATTCCCTATGGAGCACAGATCTTCAGCTAATGAAGTAGATCAGTAACAAGTATAGTGGAATGAGTTTTTTAACTACAAATAAAGCTACTTCTGGTACAATAATACAGTTAAAAATTTCCCTTAATTCCACTATGAAGAGACGCAAGAAGATTCAAACGTTAGTGAAACTTTCTGCGTGCATCTTTGGTGGAACCTGCCCAGAAGTGAGGAAAAGACCTTTGGACTTCATCATGATGTCTTTGGTCAGCCTGATTGCGAAAATTCAGCCTAACACACATCGTATAAATGGAAGGCTAATGATCCAACCACAGGGTAAAATTTCAAATTATGGAAAAAAGTCAATTTGAATCTTGAATGCTCCTAGGAATCATTGACCTGCAAACTAGAGTGTAGCCAACTAGGTGGAGTTGTAGGCAAAGATGGGTAATGTCATGCCTATGATATTGTTGACAGAATTTGCTTAACCCTTGATATTATGCTTTCAGAAGACAGAAGAAGTGAAGAGCTCTACTCAAATGGTGGCTGTTACGATGGACATGTTGCCCACTATCAAAGAGCACAACCTGATCATCTTTATAAATTGGACTATGTACCTGTTGAGGTTAGATCTCAAAATGATCCATATGTTGTGTGGGCCTAATCAAATTATAAAATAAATGAGGATACTTCTAAGTTGCAAATGACATCCTATGTACTTCTAATTGCTGCTTTTTTCTTTGGATTGCTGACTTGTGTTTCATATTAGAGTTCAAAAGCTTAATCCAGTTCTGAATCAAAATCTCTAAATTTTTGAAAATTTTGAATTTTAAATAATATCCCTCTTAAGCAAAATTAACTGAAATGCTTTCTTTCGGGGTTTTGGGGTTTTGGGGTTTTGGGG